CATAATACAAAACTTGCGTTTTCCAGCTTAATATTAATTTACTTCTCATTTCTTATGTACCAATTTTTTCAGTGTTGGTTTTGAAGAAACATTGAAAAAGAAATTATAAAAATATGGAAAAAATATTATTTTGAAATGTTAGTTATGAAAAGTTTTAAGTAAAAAAATTAAATAAATTACATTAAAATTTTTTTGAAATTTATCGCAAAAAGACCAGCAGTATTCAACCGCTTAAAAGACATTTTCCCAAGACTAAGTAACGCCAAAATTCAGGAAGGGGTTGTTAATGGTCCCGACATACGGAAACTAATGAGTCGTCAAGATTTTGACCAAGTTCTGACAGACCGAGAATTAAATGCATGGCTCGCGTTGAAAGCTGTCATTAAAGGACTTTTGGGTATATAGAATATAGAAATGCAACGTACTGGACGTAAATCGTTCTATTATCCATTCTATTCTATTCTATTATCAATTCAATTTGTACCATCCAGATTGAATTTCTTTTCGTCTGAAAAGATAACCTAAGCCAACTTATTATAGTGTATTTTAAGGTAAAATAACCATTTTAACAACTTGGAGAATTCTGTCAATTGCCATGCTTTTGCTAGCGAAATCCTTTCGAGCAGCTTTAGGATGTAGCAAAAGACGCGGAGCCGTGATCATTTCACCATACTCGAGGTGCTAGTAAATTTTGCTGTTAATTTCTGGCAAATTGTAATGGAAACCAACAATATTCAGACCCTTGTACCCTCGTGACCTCAATCCAATGGAAATGCGTGGAGAATACTGGCAAAGAAAGTGTATGCTGATAATCGCCAATTTGCAAACGTTATATGGCTTAAATTGGCGATTTTGCAATAGTGGCATAAACTAGATGCTGCTTTATCGAAGATATTATGTCTAAGTATGAGGAAGCATGTATTTCAGTTAATTAAAGTCAATGGAGCACAAATAGAGTATTAGAAGGACATATTTGCATGTTTTACTCATCTTATTGGGATTCCTCTTTTTTTGGATTTATAGTTTTGCAACAAGCAATTTTTAGGATTTTCTTAATTATTTTAAATAAGGTTATGATTATAAAAAAATTAACCACTCCTTTTTAAGAGAGCTCTTACCATGCAAAAGTCATAGAAGAAAGTTTTTACCTATTGTGACGGCTGTTTCAAAGACTTTTGTACTGGATTTATAACTATGCAACGCAGTGTAGAAAGGAGAATTCTACATAGTAAGGGATACAATGTTCAAGAGCAGCCTAAGGCTGCCTACACAAAAAGAAGTTCTGCGCAAAAACACTTCCGGTCCCCTTTTCCGGCAACACAGAAAGGAGAATGCTACTTAGTAAGGGTTATAATCCTTAAGTGCGGCCGAAGACCACCTACGCAGAAAAAAGTACTGCGCAAAAATACTTCCGGCCCCCTTTCCCGGAAACACAGAAAGGAGAATTCTACTTAGTAAGGGTTATAATCCGTAAGCGCGTTCGAAGGCCGCCTACGCAGACAGAAGTTTTGCGCAAAAATACTTCCGGCCCCCTTTCCCGGAAACACAGAAAGGAGAATGCTACTTAGTAAGGGTTATAATCCGTAAGCGCGTTCGAAGGCCGCCTACGCAGACAGAAGTTTTGCGCAAAAATACTTCCGGTCTCCTTTTTCGGCAAAACAGAAAGGAGAATTCTACTTAGTAAGGGTTATAATCTGTAAGCGCGTTCGAAGACTGTCTACGCAGAAAGAAGTTCTGCGCAAAAATAATTCCGGCGCCCTTTTCCGGCAACACAGAAAGGAGAATTCTACTTAGTAAGGGTTATAATCCCTAAGCGCGGCCTAATACCGCCTACGCAGAAAGAAGTTCTGCCCAAAAATACTTCCGGCCTCCTTTTCCGGCAACACAGAAAGGAGAATTCTACTTAGTAAGGGTTATAATCCCTAAGCGCGGCCTAATACCGCCTACGCAGAAAGAAGTTCTGCCCAAAAATACTTCCGGCCTCCTTTTCCGGCAACACAGAAAGGAGAATTCTACTTAGTAAGGGTTATAATCCCTAAGCGCGGCCTAATACCGCCTACGCAGAAAGAAGTTCTGCCCAAAAATACTTCCGGCCTCCTTTTCCGGCAACACAGAAAGGAGAATTCTACTTAGTAAGGGTTATAATCCCTAAGCGCGGCCTAATACCGCCTACGCAGAAAGAAGTTCTGCCCAAAAATACTTCCGGCCTCCTTTTCCGGCAACACAGAAAGGAGAATTCTACTTAGTAAGGGTTATAATCCGTAAACGCGTTCGAAGGCCACCTACGCAGAAAGAAGTTCTGCGCAAAAGTACTTCCAGTCTCCTTTTCCGGCAACACAGAAAGGATAATTCTACTTAGTAAGGAATCTATTCCTTAAGCGCGTTCGAAGGCCGCTTACGCAGAAAGAAGTTCTGCGCAAAAATACTTCCCCCCCCCCCCCCCTTTTCCGTCAACGCAGAAAGGAGAATTCTTCTTAGTAAGGGTTATAATCCCTAAGCGCGGCCGAAGGCCGCCTACGCTGAAGGAAGTTCGTTTTCATGTATACACTATTTCGGTTTTTGTCATATGCATTATTTCGGTTTTGAACCGAAACTGTGCATGTATGCATTACTTCGTTTTTCTCATATGCATTATTTCGGATTTATTCATATGCATTATTTCGGTTTTTAACCGAAACTGTGCATGTATGCATTACTTCGTTTTTCTCATATGCGTTATTTCGGTTTTCAAACGAAAGTGTGCATATGCATAATTTCGGTTTTTCTAATATGCATTATTGCGGTTTTCAACCGAAACTGTGCATATATGTAAGATGGCAGCACTAAACATATGCCTCGTCTGGTAACACTAGGTATTAGTAACGTTTGGCAACACTGAAGTATAAGTCGCATGTAGCAACACAGTCAAGTGGAAGTCGCCGTGAGAATCGTCCGAAAGCTGTGCCGAGATTTGCATTTAATTTTCTATATATTTTTGAAATACTTAAACTGTACTACACAGTAATATTCACTTTTTCAACGTACTGTTAACTCATACAATAATTATTAAAGCTATTAATTATCACATATATGCATTATTTCGGTTTCTTCATATGCATTATTTCGGTTTTCAACCGAAACTGTGTATATATGCATTATTTCGGTTTTTTTCGTATGCGTTATTTCGTTTTTTTTTTTTATATGCATTTTTTCGTATGCACAATTTCAGGGTGCCAACCAAAAATTCTTTCAGTATCCCGAATGGAAAGCTGCTCGAACAGAGCTTTTTACCAATAAAGTACACAGAAAAGTACTACATACTGATTTATGTTTGAATTGAGTTTCTTATCCGTTTTTAGAAACGAGATTCCAGATGAATTTTGTCTATTATTCAAAAAGGCTGATCAAAGGCCTTTCTGTAAAATAAATTGCAAATGTGTGTACATGCTGTGAAATCCTACATACTGAGATTTCCAGAACGTATTTATTAATTTATATGCAATTGAAGTTCGGAAGATACACTGGATTAAGTGGAGAAACCTCAAAACTATAATTTTTAACCCTCTAACGAACAAGTGGTCCACAATAGACGTCTCTCACAGAATCATTACTTACTCATTTTAAAGTGCTCTGTAGTTTAAATCCATAAAATAATTTTGTCTGGCTAACTTGAAAAGGTCGCGCCATTGTACGGCGGCTGCAGTAGAAGAGTGAACAGGTGCGTACTTCCACTCGGAAGGACCAAGGTAAGATCCATGGTCAGAGCATATCCCAAAAGAGCAGTCGCACCTCAGCAACCAATGCCAAAACTTAGAGTGTATTTCTGCCTTGATAACGCTTCTCATAAAAACATTTGCCGTTCGGAGTCAGCGTAAAAATTTAGGCGCCTCCATTTGTGTCACAACAGCAAAACTTTGCTTAGTTATTAAGGGAGATGGCAATGTTCTTGTTTGAACCGTTTCAAATGTTTGATTTTCGAAATTACTCAGTGAGGCGAAGTTCAATGAAAATTGAGGGTTGCATGCCCATAAACACCAAATAAAAGTGGTATTTAAAGCAAGTTTACGGAAATATTTTCTTATGGTAAACTCCGATTTTATGAGTAGCTTTTAATGGTAAACTCTAAATGGCTCTTAAACTCGCGTTCAAGGAAAACGAAATTTGAAAAAATATTGTTGTACATCACTTTAAAAGTATACAGACCCCCTTTGATTTTTTTTTATCGGATGAAAAATAGTCAAGCTGCTAGAAGATAAGTGCATAAAGATTTTCGTTTAGGTTTTTTTAAAGAAAAAAATTAAGGATTCAGGAACTATAAGAAACCTATTTTCATGTACCCGGCCTTACCTAAAACCTATACTAAATTTTGTTCCGGTTGTATTTCGTGATTTTTTTTTTTTTGTAGCACCGTGTCATTTTATGTTAATGTTATTTAGTTATTTGTTTGTTATTACAAGTTTATTAGAAGCATTTGTTCTTGAATAAATTTAGTAGGTTTTTTTCTAGGAATCGGCATCTGCAATCGGCCGATTCTTTGCCCACCGGCCAAAAATTCGGAATCGGTCGGACTCTATCACAGAACACCTAAAACAAAATCGTGCGAGCTCTCATTTCGGTCCCGAGTTCAAAGAACATACCTACACATTTTAACTCTTAAACCATCTAATCGAAGTTTTTAGCCAAATTGATTATATTAAAAAGTGTGGCAACCGTGCTCAAGAGTATTACTGAAGTTAAGTTTTAAAAATCCGCACCGCGCCTGTTTGAGAAGACCTTTATGCCGGAAAGCACCGATTTTAGCGTTCAAAATAAATCTTATGACAAGCATTCGGTATTAAATACCGAAATTTTGTATAAAAATTTCCGAGTTTGAAAAAAATGCATGCGTATTACGGTAATCGACAGATGCCATCTGCACGGATCTAATCCGATTCACACTCTGTCGTAAGAAGGGAGTGTGAAAGATTTGATTCGCTTATTATGACAGTATTATGATATAATGATAAGATATACATACATACCTGAGCTCCACCAGACGGTTGGTGGATCATTATGCGGGCATTAGGAAGAGAATACCTCATTCCTGATGTTCCGGCTGTCAAAAGTAATGATCCCATAGAACATGCTTGACCAACACACCAAGTTGATATGGGTGGTTTGACGTACTGCATGGTGTCATATATAGCTAATCCGGCCGTTACAGCTCCACCCGGAGAATTTATGTACATGTGTATTGGCTTATTAAAATTTTCGGATTGAAGAAAAAGAAGTTGGGCTACAACAAGTGAGCTTAAATCGTCATGTATTGGTCCCATAACACATACAATACGCTCCTTTAACAATCGCGAAAATATATCATAAGCGCGTTCACCTCTACCGGTCTGCTCGACAACCATTGGAACTAAATGAACGTACTTTTTATTTAATAATCCAAATTTCTGAAAATACAAATAAAAAGTGATATGAATAATAAGAAGAAAGACTCTGCCACATACAGTTTTCTTGCCGCTTTCGGAAGTGCCAAACCTAAACAAAAGCGTCAACGCTTCGTCGAATGCAGAAATAACACCAACAGCAAGCATAGGTTTGTTTGTGTAAAATATGAGAATTACAGTTTCGCCGTTTCCTGCAGCTACCTTCACTTCCTAACGCCCTGTCAAAATCGGATTTTCCAACCTCTCAGCGTTGATGCCGCGTTGTTGCGGGATGCTTCATACAAAATGTTTGGGCATGAGCCAGCCAGACAACGCTGACGGTTTTGTTTAGGTATGACAGTTTGGCGTTAGTTTTTCTTTGACAGCTAAAATAAATACACACGTTTATTTATTTATTTAGAAGACTATCGGGCAGAGGTAATTCTAAGAGATTTTTTACTTAAATGTAAATAATCCTAATAACTGATATATTAAAAAATACGTTAAATAGATATATTTAAAAAAAATGTTAATAGAATAAAATAGCCCCATTCAGGGATGCGTGGGAAATCGGGGTTTGAACTGTTTTTTTTGTGAGGAATTAGGCGTTAACTAATTTTCAGCCACTTGAAACTTGCATATTATTATACTAGAATTGAGTGGGCTACAAAACTTTCAAAAATCTTTCTAGAAAATCTAATTAGAAAATGTTTACGAAAGTTTGTTAATTTTTTTAAATATTGCATAAAGTTTTAAACTTAGATTTATATGGGTTTTGTTAAAGAATGAACCATATTAAATATCCTAAATTAAATAACGCACAAAAAATAATAATTGTGAAAAGTGATTAAAATTTGGGTCAACTAAAATTTTGTCGACCACTGTATGTATGAAAACATTTATATGTATATTTTTTATTCTTTGTTTGTTAACTAACTTTATAAATGTTTGGTTTGGTTTATGAATACATTTGACACAAGTAATTTTTAGCAAAAAAAAACCGACTTCAACTCCCATATAAAAAAAAAAAATATATATATATATATCTCATTATCCACTGATCGGATCTCAACCAGATTAGTATGGGACCACCTCTGAGACACTCCCTTTCCGATGCATTATCGAAATCGGTTGACGTGGTCCAAAGTTATGCGGTAACATACATAAAAAAAATAAAAAATATTCCGACGAACTGATAACCTCCTCCTTTTACGGAAGTTGGTTAAAAATAAACAGAAAGACCAGTAATGTATAAAGAGGCATAAATGGGTGGGGAATTTTACGAAATTTCGGAGAAAATCGGGGAATTTCATTGTCGAAATCGGGGAATTATCAAAAATGAGTTGGCTACCCTGGCCCAATTTGATAGATAAAGTTGTAGATGGTTATGCTTTCCAAAGAATTTTCTTTCAGTAGATCTGATGGCTGCCTGCTTTGGAAAATGTTGATCCTGTCATTGGCGTATTTCGTGCAACAGTTTATTATACGAATATCGGACAGTGAACAATTACACACAGGGCAGGCTAGAGGTGGTCTTCCTAGTGTATGTCTTAGTCGGAGTCTCGTGAATATTTTGGCTTGTTGTACGGTAACGCCGGTTGGAATATTTGCTTTTAAGCAATTTCATCAATTCATCAGTTTGTATCCGTGCTAATATATACCAGCTATCCATTAAATTCTTTTTGTAGGCGCTTTCAATTTGCCGTTATTTTTAAACAGAGTGCAGCTATATGGCTCTGTGGTGGACTGGCATTTCAAGGAAGGCACAGCATGGGTGAAGGTTTCGTTCGAGCGAGGCAAACGGAATTAGTATTTTTAATTGCCGTGCAAGAACCAGCCTTACAAAATAACAGTATACCCTGATGCAGGTAACTTCAATGCGTGGGCAACAGAGTGGGGAAGCAGACTAACAAATAAAAGAGTTGAGCTGCTGCTTGAAACTTTTGCCCACATACACCTTCCGCAAAATGGGAACTGAGTCAATTATTGACATAACGCTGTCGAGTGACTCCTTGGCCCAAAAAATTAATTGGAGAGTTAGTGAGGAGTATACCAACAGCGACCATCAGGCAATAATAATGGATATAACTCTGAGTCAACCCAAACAGATGCCAAATCTGACAGGCCCAAAATGGAAAGACAGTATGTTAGATAGAGGTCCTAGCCTGCATGATAGAAGGATTCCAGCACAAAGCTGGCTCGGTAGAGAGCGAGGTTGCTCACCTGGTTCGTAACCTCGCATGCGCCTGTGATGCTGCTATGCCTCGAAGAGTGGTGACGAAACAAAATTATCTATGCTATTGGTGGAATAATGATATAAAAATACTTAGACGTCAGTACCTGAAATCTAGACGCAGAATGCAGCGTAGCAGAGGGAGGCCAGACATCAACGAAAACCTACAATCTCTAAGAACGGCGAGGAAGAGCTTAGAAAACGCCATAAAATTCCGCAAACGTGAAAGCTTTAAGAAAATATTCGAAGGATATTAACCTGTACGGCACGGCTAATAGAGTAATAATGGCAAAAACTAAAGGCTAGCAAACACCGAGTATCACATGACCAGAAAGGCTGCGCGATATAATAACGACTCTATTGCCACAAAGGGAAGAAGTTGTACCAAACTGTACGCGATACGACATTGTCGATGTCCCAGTTATTACGGTTAACGAATTATAGTCCGCATGCAAGAAGATCCAAGATGGAAAAGTCCCTGGTCCAGGCGGAATACCCAACAAGACTTTAAAAGCTGAAATTAAAATGAGGCCAGATTTATTTGTAAATGTGTTTCAAACTTGTCTTAATGAGGGCATTTTCCCGAAAAAATGGAAGGTCCAAAACCTAGTCGTAGTACCAAAGGAAAATAAGCAATCTGGGGAACCCTCGTCCTATCGGTCCATATGCCTATTACACACTGTGAAAAATCGTCGAAAAAATTATTTGCAACAGGCTTATAACGCTCGCAGAAGAGAGTCGCTTTCTGTCGCCATACCAGTTTGCCTTCAGTAAATCTCGTTCAACAATTGGTGCCGTTAAGTCCGTGGTTGACATAGCCAAAGAAGCGCCATCGAAGGGAAAAGGTGGCATGGAGGCCAAAAGGAATACTGTTCTGTTGTAACGCTAGATGTGAAAAACGCATTTAACACTGCGAGCTGACAGCACATAATGGAAACCCTTATCAAAATGGAGGCCCCGAAATACATGATCAGAATAATTAGGTGCTATCTCTCTGAACGGGAATTGAAGTACCGGAGCGACAGAGGCATAGAGGCGTACGGTGTTTCCGCGGGGGTACCCCAAAGATCCGTTTTCGGGCCTCTCCTGTGGAACTTAATGTACGACGAAGTTCTATGCATCGATATTAGGGCGGGTCGAAAATCTAATTTTTCTCAAATCCATTGGTAATAGTGAAAATATATTGTATCATGAAGTCAACAACAAGCCTGCAAAATATTGGTATTTTATTTTTGTTGAAGACATGGACCTAATTTCCTTTTCCTTCTTCGAGCAACGGCGGCGGAACGATGGGAGTGAAACTCTAGCTCTTCTGACCTCGTCTTCTTCGCGATCGGCTCACTTGCCTTCTAGCAGCCAACACTAACGCCTTTAACATTTTTTATTAGCTTTTGAATAACTTTGAATTTACCTTGAACTGTGGGAAATCCATTTGAAATCATATTTTTGTGAAATACTCTATACATTTACAATTAATAAATTGAATTTTTACAAGCTTGTGCTAGCAAGATAAATAAGGTTTTATTATTTTACGTTCTGCATTAATCGCCGAGATTGTGTTCATGGTCCTTTCGGAGCCATCAGAAGGAATTAGCTATCACTAAAGCGTTGGTTGGCAATTAAGGCAGGCAGTAGTAGCCGAAACGAACGTGCGCATACGCGGAGTTTTAAGCACACGCGGAGTTTTTAAGCCCGTCTCGAAATTTCAAACTGAAGCGATTTTTATTCGGGAAAATATATACATACATACTTCTAAAAGTGAAAAAAAAACTCAAAATTTATTAAGCCTTGAAGTGTGAAAAAAGTGAGGAAGATCGGAAAATCAAATACATACCTCTTTAAAAGGCACATAATAAATTAATAAAAGGCAAAGTGACTTGAAGTGGCTGAAAAGCACTAAGCATACATTTTGAATGTCCCACCCGTGACAAAAAGGTTTTAAACTTCGTATTGCTTAGTTACTACTTTGGGGATTTTTCTATAATTTCATAACTAGAGTGTGTTTATACTATGCAGCGCTATTTCATCTCTTTTATTATATTATAAGTGCCTACTTTAGAGATTTTGAAACCTTTTATCGTGTCCCGCCCGTGACAATCACTTATACATTTTTTTCTAATGGTGAATAACAATAAAAAAAAACAAGTTTAACGTTTCAAACCTATGTTTAATGCCACAAAAATTTGAAGTTCAGGTTGACTAAACAGCATAATAGTGTTGATGGGCTAAGCGATGTAGTAAAAAATTTCACGTGGTGAGCTCGAAAGGTCAAGGTAAACATTACTATCATAGAGACGCCAGAGAATTCTATGATGAGGGTTGCTTAACAACAATCCAAAAGTCAATACTAACAATTACCCCAAAATTTCCAAACAAGAAAATCTAGAAGTTCGCCTAACTTATAAATTCAATCCAATAAATAGCCTTTAAGTGACAAAGATATATGTATCTGCGTACAAGTATTCTAATGCAGATAACTTTTCGGATTAGACATCAATACACAAGATCATTTCTGACGTTCTATGGTTTCACCAAAGAATAGATAAATTTGAGCCTGATTTGTCCATGAAATCAGTTTTCCAAAAATAACTCAACTCCAGCCACTCTTAGGGCCCGTTACTCAATGTTTGGTTAACACTAACAGCAGGTTAGACATCGCTATCGACGTGATAACGTAGTCGTTATCAGGGTTGTTGCGAATATTCGCATTCGCATTCGCAACCGCGGAGCTTCCGCATTAATTTTAACATTCGCATTCGCTTTCGCATTCGCAATAATCAATGCGGATCTTTTACGAATGCGAATATTGGAGGGACCGAAAATAACAGTTTTTTTTACCAGTAAAACTTGGCCAGATATTTTTTATTCCCAATTAAAAGTCTTTTCCGGATAATAAACAAACCGCTTATCCAAATTAAACAAGTTTGGTACCAAATGAAGGAAATGTCTAAACGAGCAAAGCAACCCATTGAAAAATATTTCAATAAAAAATGTTAATTAATTACCATAGAGCAAACCTTGGGTCTGGTATATGAATTTCTTTAGTATTAAATGATACAAAAAAATACAAATAGCGGTGGTAACCTTCTGAATTACAAAAACTAAAATCGAAAAACGCGGTTGACGTTACAGGTTCTCCAAATTGTGAA